GTCGTGCTCCTGCCGGTCGCTTGCCCACCCCACCGTTCTGTGGCACCACCGGATGGGGCACCCGTCCCTTCCTCGTCTGCGCGCTATGTCTAGTCAGCGTCTTGTCCTAGGCCTCCCACGTGTCTTGCCGTCGCTGCCGCCTTCACTTGCGCCGCCGTGTCGTCCCTGCGTCGAGGGTAGGCTGCGCGCCACCCCTCACTCCTCCTCCCTTCGTCCGGCCACCGAGCCTTTTGAGACGCTTCACTTGGACGTCTGGGGCCCCGCCCCTCGTCTAGGCCCTGAGCGTGAGCGTTACTTTCTGGTGGTCGTTGACGACTTCTCCCGCTACACCACAGTGTTCCCACTGGCGAAGAAGTCTGAGGTGACTTCTACGCTGATCAGGTGGTTGCTCACCACCGAGGACACTCGTGGTCGTCGTGTCAGCTGTCTCCACTCCGACCGTGGGGGTGAGTTTCGCTCCGGCATTCTCGCTGGATTCTGTCGCGAGCAGGGCATTCGTCAGTCCTGGACGCTTCCAGAGTCCCCACAGCAGAATGGGGTTGCTGAGCGCCGCATAGGCCTGGTCATGGAGATCGCCCGCACCTCCCTGACTCACGCCTGTGCCCCCCATTTTCTGTGGCCCTACGCGGTCAGGTACGCCGCGCACCAGCTGAACCTCTGGCCACGTGTCTCTAGACCAGAGGTTTCACCGACCAGTCTTTGGACAGGGTCCCCTGGTGTTGCGTCGCGGTTTCGTGTCTGGGGGTGCTTGGCTCTTGTCCGCGACACCTCCGCGGACAAGCTCTCGCCTCGTGCCGTCCCCTGTGTCTTCCTTGGTTTCCCTGAGGACTCCTCTGACTTCACCTTTTACCATCCTCCCTCTCACTGGTTCTTTTGACTCCCGTGACGTCCGTTTCGAGGAGTCCACTCCGTACTACGTCAGGTACCCCAGTCAAGGTCTCCCGGTTCCTCCTCCCCCCCTCTTCCTGACTGCCGCTCCCCCTCCTGCTCCCCCGGTACAGCCTCCCCCCCCTGGCCCAGCCCCGTCAGGTGTGTCCCAGGCTACCCCTCCTCCTTCGGTAGCCCCTCCGGTACAGCCTCCCTCCCCACAGTCCTCCTCGCAGCGTGCCGCTGGTGCTAGCTCTCGAGAGGTTGGTGCTGCGCCTGTTCCTGTATCGGTTTCTGGTTCTGGGGGTGCTGGAGTTGGAGCTGGTGTTGGAGCTGGAGGTGGAGCTGGAGTAGGCACTGGAGTTTCTGGTTCTGGGGGTGCTGGAGTTGGAGCTGGAGTTTCTGGTTCTGGAGTTGGAGCTGACCCGGTGGGTGCAGAGGACTCGTGTCGTCCGGGAGCCGGTGCTGGCCGCGCGGACTCTGGGGGTGCTCCCTCTGGGGGTGAGGGTGCGCCTGCTTCGGGTTCTGGTGCGCCTGGGTCTGGAGCTGGTGTTAGTGCTGCCTCTGGGGGTGGTGCACCTCGTTCTTCGGGGGTTGACTCTGGAGCTGCCGCTGCTTCGGACACTACTCCGCCCCCCCCCCCCTACCCGACTAGGCACCAGGCTCGTGTTCGCCGTGCGCGTGACGAGCAGCTGGAGTTGGAGAGAGAGGAGAGGGAGTTACAGCGGCTGGCGGAGCAGCAGCAGCAGCTGGACCCGCAGGAGCAGCAGTCCCAGCAGCAGCCGCTTCCGCAGCAGCAGCAGTCGTAGCAGCAGCAGCAGCAGCCACTTCCTCCTCCTGTCTCGGGTCTTCGGGCCCTTGGTCTCCCCTCCCCTTCTCCTCCCTCCTCCGCCTCTCCTCCTGTCTACGGTCCCACGTTTCCTCCGCCTGACTCCTCCCCCGCTGTTTTCTCTAGTTCTCCGCCTTTGTCCTCTCCTCCTCCATCTTGTTCTTGGGCTACTCGTCGCTCCCCTCGTGCTCGTCCCTCGTCTCCTGTTCCCTTCACTGACCTTCGTACTGCCTTACTTTGTTCCAGTCCACCTCGTCCGTCTCAGTCTGTGCTTCCGTCTCCTCCTGAGTCGGCCCTCACCGTGTCGCTCCCTGCTCCTGTCACTGACTACTACCGCACGTACCGTCCTGTTCTCTCTCGTGTTCTCGCCTCTCTTGTTACTCACCCTCGTGCCTCTGTGTCCTCTGTGTCTGCTCTTACTGCCGCGGTTACTGACTTTGCCGCTACCCGCCGCCTTGACTACGCCACCACGCTTGTGGCTGCTCCTCCTACCAGTCCTCTGGCCGTCGGGGGTGTGTCTGCCCTTGGCTGTGACGCCCTAGAGGACAGGCAGTTTGAGCTAGAGTTCCTGGCGGCCGCTTCCCCTCATCTCTGTGCCATGCTCCTCGCCCCTGAGGGTGACCCCGACGCCCTTGACATTCCGACTCCTCGCACTTACGCTGAGGCAGTGTCAGGGCCTTGGGCCTCTCAGTGGAGAGCTGCCATGGACGCAGAGATGGCCTCCTACAGATCCACAGGCACCTACGTCGATGAGGTTCCCCCCCCTGGGGCGAACGTAGTCGACGGCATGTGGATCTACAGGGTGAAGCGGCCACCGGGATCTCCCCCGGTCTTCAAGGCGCGCTACGTGGCTAGAGGTTTCAGTCAGCGCGAGGGAGTTGACTTCTTTCAGACCTTCGCACCTACCCCGAAGATGACCACTCTTCGGGTGTTACTACACGTAGCAGCACAGAGAGACTACGAGTTACACTCTCTCGACTTCTCCACTGCTTTCCTTCAGGGCAGCCTACACGAGGAGGTCTGGTTGCGTCGTCCCTCGGCCTTCACTGGCACTTTCCCTCCTGGGACCCAGTGGAGGCTGAGGCGACCTGTTTACGGTCTTCGCCAGGCCCCTCGCGAGTGGCACGACACTCTGCGTTCTACCCTCTCTGACCTTGGGTTCCAGCCGTCTTCTGCCGACCCGTCGCTGTTCGTTCGTCGTGGCTCCACACCGTTCTTTGTTCTGGTCTACGTCGACGACCTCGTTTTCGCCACCCCGGACAGGGTTGCTTTGGCAGACGTGAAGTCCGAACTGCAGAAGAGACACACGTGCACTGATCTTGGTGAGCTGCGCCACTACCTTGGCCTGCAGATCACCAGGGACAGAGCCGCTCGCACCATTACACTCTCACAGTCACACATGGTGCAGCAGGTCCTTCAGCGGTTCGGGCTTCAGCACTCCACCGTACAGCGCACATCTCTCGCTGTTGACCACAGACTCACTGGTCCCTTTCCTGACGAGCCGTTTGAGCCTAGTGGTCCGTACGCAGAGCTTGTGGGTTGCCTCATGTACCTGATGACTTGTACTCGCCCGGACCTCGCCTTCCCTCTCAGCATCCTTGCGCGCTTTGTTGCGCCAGGGAGACACCGTCCTGTTCACTGGACGGCAGCTGTGAGGGTGGCGAAGTACCTAGCGACTACATCAGGCGTGGGGCTAGTTCTTGGAGGGCAGCAGTCTGTCGTACTCACTGGTCACTGTGACTCCTCTTACGCTGACGACGCTGAGACTCACAGGTCTACTCAGGGGTACTGTTTCAGTCTGGGTTCTGGAGCTGTTTCCTGGCGTTCCACGCGCTCCTCTTCTGTCTCGACCTCTACAGCTGAGGCTGAGATTTACGCTGGTGCCATGGCGGCACAGGAGTTGCGGTGGTTGACCTTCTTGCTCGCCGACCTTGGTGAGCGGCCGAGCTCTGCACCGACCTTGTTTACTGACAACAAGGCGTCGATCCTCCTCTGTCGTGAGCCGCGACTGGAGAGCAGAGTGAAGCACATTCACGTCAGGTACTTTCTTCTGCGAGAGTTGCAGAGACGTGGACAGGCTCGCTTCGAGTTCGTGGAGTCCGAGGCCAACACTGCAGACATCTTCACCAAGGCGCTTCCGCCTTGTGACCACCAGAGGTGTTGTGTGCAGTTAGGCCTTGTTGACACAGGTTCTAGTCATGTGTAGACTTGAGTTTATTGCCTGCTTCGTCTGTACACTTGCTATATATACTTGTGATCTCTTGGACTGGCCTTGTGGCCACTGTTGCTTGTGCTCAGAGTGTGTGGTGACGTTGTGATCCACCATGAGCTTTGTTTTCTTTTGGACTGGTCTTGTGACCGTACTCTTTTTGATTTTGCTAGACACCCCTCACTTAGGCTATGGGGGTGTGTCAAATGTTGTAGCCTGTAGTGAGGTTTGTCTTAAGGGGTACAGAAGTTAGGGTTTGTCATATGTACCCCAACCAACATCAATGGACACATCATTCCTCATTCTGACATCCAGTCAGCAGGAGCTGTCAGGAGCTGTCAGGAGCTGGATGTGAGTCAGATTGAGTGTATCTCCCAGCGCACGCGAGAATTTCATTGACGACCCCATGTAACTTCGACTCGATTGTAAAGGCAAGCACGAGATCTACAGTTTGATGGTAGAAAATATAAATAATATGTCATTTTATAAGCGCCTGCGCTTATAAATTTACTCGATTATAAGCCCACCCCCCTAAAAAAACATGTTTTATTATTGCCTCCCACGGGGATATATCCAGCGTGTGACGGCATCATCTCCCACCCTCCCTCACTCAAACCCGTGACAGAAGAACTCACCCTAGGAGCGTGCATGTTGCCAGCAGTCGGTACATACCATAGGAGCATTTCATCAGTACAGACAGGTCACCAGCAGGTCCAATCTCCTGAACGTTTCTGCGGTCTAGGTCGTTTTGTAGGGGTATCAAACAGTTAACCCAAAAACTGACATGAGGCACGGTACAGTACTCCCTCATTGCCTCAAATGTGGATATTTCAAATGACCACCTAGCTCTCATAACAGTTTTACACATAAATAACATGCCATTATGCTGTAACATGAACCAGGTCATTACTGCATGCAAATATTGAAGGAATAAAATGGAATTGAATGCACTATCAAACTATCTATAAATAAAACCAAATCAGCAAAAAAAAAACTTAAAATTACACGTGCTGCTGGAACTGTCACCGGCACCCAACCCCCAGTGCATGTGAGCTAAGGTGAGCCAGGCTCACCTCCCTCACCTAACACCACGAGCTACGGTTTGGGCTTGCAGAGTACTCTGCCCACCCAAAGCGTGCTGGTAGAGCATTTGAAGCCCACATTGTATGTGTACATGAGGGTGTAGGAGCACTTGAATATCTTGCACACCACCGTGGCACACGTGTCTCCGCGGACCACTGTGTATGTGCCATAGTAACAGCTTGCTCCTATGAGTGGTAGGCTGCCCACGCAGAGCTGTAACCGGGGGAGGGTGCAGGGGGGATGGTAAAGAGAGGTTGATGAGAGGAGAGAAAACGGTTTGTTCAAGAGAAAGAGAGCATCTGCTGTGTGACGTGCTTGCTTGTAACTAAACACACTTCCTGGGTGTTATCAAGTCAATAAACGTCAGCAGAATTGACCAGGAACACTTTGGGTGTAGCAAGCAAACCAGCACCCCATGTCCACCTCATGCATATGCCCTGGGCCCACTATGCGCACAACACCGCACCGCACCGCACCGCACCACAGCGCACAGGACAGCACAGTGCAGCACCGCACTGCACCGCATATCACCATACAGGCAGGGGAGGGGCGAGGCAGGGTAGGGCAGGCGGAGTGAACTGAGCGTTGCATACCTGCTGACCGACAAGGCGCTGGGAGGAGTCAGCGGAGCAGATGATTCCGGGGTTGTAGGAGTAGAGCTGCAGCGCTGTGAGCGGCGGTTGCGCCTTGACCATCACGTCGTTGCATGTCTCCCCCGGGTTGACCGTGTAGTAGCTTGTGCAGGACAGCGGCAGCGGTGTGCCCTGATCCATGCACAGCTGGTGGAGAGAGAGAGAGAGAGAGAGAGAGAGAGAGAGAGAGAGAGAGAGAGAGAGAGAGAGAGGTGGGGGGTAAGGGAAGGGAGAACGGTAGAGGGGGGGGAGAGGGGGAGAGGGAGGGAGGTAGAGGGAGTGAGGGGTGAGGAGGGGGGAGGGGATCGCAGGCGGCGGGCGTGCAGTAATCGAGAAGGGAGGTGGCATGGCATGTGGACGTGAGAGGCGGAAGTTATGTGCGAGAACAAAAGAAAGTGCAGCAGTGGTGCAAAAATGGAAAAAGCACGGCGGGGTGAATTGGCGGCAGGAAAGGAGAGTGGGTGTGGGGAGTGTTTGGGGTAAGGGGGGGAGTGGGGGATGGGGAGTGGCAGAATGGGATGAGGGAGATGGGGGGAGAGCAGCACCTGCTGGCCGGGCACGAGCTGCGTGCAGTCGAGGTCTGGGTTCAGTGCTGCCAGGTCCGCTGCTGTGATCCCAAACATGCTCAGCACCCACTCACACGTGTCGCCCTGCCATTGGCAGGCGCAGAAGGGGAGATAGAGAGGGGGAGGCAGGGTGTGGAGCGGGAGGGAGTGAGTGGAATGGAGGGAAGGGGAAAGACAGCAAGGCGGAGAGTAGTGCAATGGGAAAGGAAAGATATATTCCTCTAAAAGCAGCCCTTTGAAATTGATCCCGCCTGTGTATTTATTCCACCTGTCAACAAGGAGGGAGGAGGGAAGGAGGGGAAGGGGGGTAGGCAGGGGAAGGCAGAAACGCAAGGATGCACGGCAGTGGAAGCGGGAGGAAAGGGCAGGAGGCGTGGTGGGTAGAAGCAGAGCACAGCGGGCAGTGAGCACAGCATGCTGCGTGGGCAGTGCACAGTGCACAGCAGCACGCACCTGGGAGATGGTGAGCGGCACGCACCTGGGAGATGGTGAGCGGCACGGTGCAGCCGGTGATGGAGCTGGGGGAGGCGTTGCTGCTGGCAGGGCGCACTGTGATGGTCGTGCCCGCCTTGTACACTCCCGGACACTTGAGCTTCTGCACCGGGGCACGCGCGGCAGGGGAAGGGCAGGGTGGGGAGGCAGGAGCGGGATGGTCAGGAGGAGAGAAAGACTTGGTCACGGGAAGACAGGCGGGCAGGAAAGGGGGAGGAACAGAAAGTGTCTGCCTCCACTTGGGCGCAGCACGTGGCAGGAATGAATGCAGTGAGGGGTGGGAGTGAACGATGAATCAATTACTTCATGCGTGCAATTCACGGGGTTGAGAGGCACTCACGGGGTTGAGAGGCACTCACGGGGTTGAGGAGGCGGAAGGCGGACATGGAGAGCGAGTAGGTGGAGCGCACTTGGTCGCACGTCATGGCCGTGGGCAGTGACACCGTGTTGCTCGCCTTGGTGGCTGTGCGGGCCCACACACATGGGGACAGGACAGGGGAGAGGGAGGGGTAGCAGGGTTGCAGGGCATTGGGAGCAGGCAGGGGAGAAAAGTGGAAGGAGCGAGTTGGTGGTTGTAGGAGGGAGTGTGAGGGGAGCGACGAGGGCAGGGCGATTTTGATGAAGAGTTTTTTGCGTGTGCGTGAATGAAGAGGGTGTGATGCAGCAAGGAGAGGTGAGGAGAAGGGAATAGGAGAATGGAGAGAGTGAGGAGTGGGAGACAGGAAGTGGGAGGAGAGTGAGAGCAGGGGGTGCGAGTGTGTGCGTGTGCATGTGTGTGAGGCAAGGCGGCGTACCAGGGACGCAGGTGACAGTGGCGTCGGTGCGCATGCCCTGCGTAAAGCCCGTGGAGCACAGGCACCAGTACCCGCCCGCGTTGTTGTCCACACACGTGCCAAACCCACACGGGTTCATCGCGTAGAACGCACACACCTTGGCTGCCAGGGGGGCGAGGGGGCCAAGGGAGAGGACGGGCGACACGGGGAGGACGGGGGGTCGCGAATGGAAAACGGGATGAGGGGAGGGGCCGCGGGAAAAAGGGTGCAGGGTGGTGGGGGGGGGGGGGGGGGGGGGCAAAGGCAGTGTAAGAATGAGGGACAAGGCAGAGAGAGAGAAGGGGCGGACTACGCCTGAACACACATCCAGCAGGCCATGTAGAGAGAGGGGGGGGGGAGTGGGGAGAGAGAGAGGGGAAGGGGAGCAAGAGAGAGGTGGAGGGGAGAGAGAGAGAGGGGAGGGGGGGAAGAGAGAGAGGAGGGGGGAGAGGGCAGGAGGGCACACACCAGGGGCGCAGGTCTGAGTCTTGTCGATGTTGGTGACGGGGATGAAGTTGTTGGGGCACGTGCACGTGTTCACCTGCTTCTTGCTGGCAGCCCCCACCGTCGCCTTGCACGTGCCGCCGCCGCACGGGTTGATGGGCCCGCACGGGTCTGGGCCTGTTGTTGCACCATGAGGGTGGGTGGGACGAGGGGAGGGGAGGGGGGACGAGGACGAGGGAGGAGAGGTCGTCAGGAGGGAGAAAGCAGGGGGAACGTTTGCAGGGTGGGTGGGAGGGAGAGGCACAGGGGGTGTGGGGGAGCGGGCAGCAGCAGCAGTCGCACAGAACGAATGGGACCAAATGGTGGACAGACAGGCAGGCATGCAGGCGGGTCAGGGCAACAGCAGGTGAAAGAGGCGAGGCGGCGAGGTAGGCGGCAGGCGGCAGCAGCTGACCAAGAATGGTGGGGTAGAGGGCAGGCATTGTGTTGACGCCACTCACACCACTTTCGAGTAGACTCAAAACGACATTGTGGGGTAGAGGGCAGGCATTGTGTTGACGCCACTCACACCACTTTCGAGTCGACTCAAAACGACAACAGCAGGTGACAGAGGCAAGGCGAGGAAAGGCGAGGGGAGGGAGGAGGCAAGGCGAGGCAGCGTGGCAAGGGCAGCAGTACTGACCGAGAATGGTAGGGTAGATGGCGGGCATTGTGTTGACGCCACACACACCGCTCCCGCCTGCAATGGCGAGCTGCATGTAGCCCTGGTCGCCCCAGCCCGCGCCCCACGAGTTGCGCACGAGCCACAGCGGCGGCGCGGCCAGCAGGTCATAGCCCACAATGACGACCGCATGGTTCACCACCTGGTTGGCGAAACACGCCGGGTCGTTGTACGTGAAACCCTGAGAGCGACAAGGAGGGAAGGGCGAGGGGGAGGAGGGGATGGGGGGCGATGAGGGAAGAGACAGGAGGTGGGTGGAGGGGGATTAAGAGCAGGAGAGGGTAGCGAGGCACGGGATGGGGAGGAGCGGAAGCGAGTGACGGGGAGGGAGGGAGGCAATTCAAGCACAGAAGAGCAGAACAGTGCCCCACTCATTCCAGGTCAGGAGATGCATCATACAGCACGTGACTCACCCCGGGGTAGGAGATGAATGACTCCTGGTCCGCCTCCACGTACGCCACCACGGGCTGCTGCTGCACGGCGAGAGCCATGCCCATCCACCCGGGCACGGACACCTGCTCGTACGACGCAATGCTGAACGGCCCCGTCGCCATCTGCGCCTCCGAGAAGCGCGCCCGTGTCACCACCACCCCGCGCGTGGATCTGCGATGCGCTGCTGCTGCTGGCTGCGCTGCTGTGGATAGTCGCCGCGCTGGGGCTGGCTCCGCCTGCGCCTGCGCCTGTGCCTGCACGTGCGGCTGCGTGGGCAGCAGCGGGTTGTCGAGGCTGAGGAGGAAGCGCACGTTGCGCTTGGTGGAGCGGCGAGACACGGTCTGGCTCCGGTGGAACAGGAGGGGGGGCGGCAGAGGGACGGGAGGAGCGGGAGAGGAGGGAGGGTGGGGGTGGGGGTAATGCCGGGAAGGTGGCATGGTGAGGTGAAGGTGGTGTTGGGAGTAAGGGGCGGCGACTAGTGTGAGGGTCAAGGGGGAGATTCCCAACGGCAACCGAGAGCGCCAAGCACGAGAGGCAGTCACCACCAAATCGGAGATCCCATCAGCGCCACTTACCTTTCCCCCCATCTCTCCCTTCTCCCCATCAGGCTCAAAGCAACGTCTCAGTCAACTTCCCTGCCAGGCCTCCCCCATCTCCTCTCCCAACCCCACTCCTTTCCCCTCCCGCTCACCCTCCCCCTCTTCCTCCCCCTCCCCCTCTTCCTCCCCCTCCCCCTCCCCCAGCGCGCACACTCACCCGGCAGGACGAGGGGGAGAAGATGCCGGTATACGGGTAGTTGACGGCGAGAGGCAGGCCGCCGCTAGAAGCAATGTAGTTGAAGGCGTGGGCGGGGTAGCCGCCCGCGCAGCTCCACTGGCCCTGGCAGTCCACCACGCGCTGCTCCGACACGTTGGGCGCCGCTGCCCCGTATGTTATCGCGTACAGCGCCTCTGTTGCCGCCACTGGCGCGAACGCCCAGCACGATGCTGCGGAGGGGGGGAGGGGGGAAAAGGGAAACTTTTGAGAGACGTTGGGCGCCGCTGCCCCGTACGTTATCGCGTTTAGGGCCTCTGTCGCTGCCACTGGCGCGAACGCCCAGCAGGACGCTGCGGATTGGGGAGCGAAGAGGGCGGGAAGGGGAAGGGGAAGGGGAAAGGGGGTATGAGGGGGGAGGGGGGAGGAGGGGAATGAGGTTGTGGCAGGGTGTGGAGCGGAGTGAGAAGGTGTGGTTGTGGCTGTCTGCTGTGAGCGAAAGCGTGAGGGAGGGTGCGCGTTTGTACGAGCAGGGAAAGCAAACAGCAAAACAGCATCAAGCGTGGGGGAGAGCCGGGGGCGAGTAAGGGGAAGGGCGTGCGGTGCGGTGCAGAAGCGGTGCGGTGCAGGGGGCAACGCGGAAAGGTATAAGGCGGTGCGAAGTATGGGGGGGGGGGGGGGGGGGGGGGGGGGGGGGGAGGGCGGGTAAAAGGAGCAAGGAAGCACTGACAGCAGAAGCCTTGGTCCTTGGCGGGCAGCAGCGGGGAGGGCAGCACAGCGCGCCAGTCCACAGCGTTGGTGAAGTTCCAGGTGGGCGAGGAGTAGTTGCCTGTGAAGCCCTTGGACAGGTGCCGGAAGTACTTGTTGGAATACGTGCCCGATGGCAGCGCGGGTGTTGTGCCCGTGAAAACCACCCCGCGGTACCCTGTTGAGGGGGGAGACACGGGGAGAAGGAAAGGGGGGGGACTTTGGGTTGTCTGGCAAGTGCTTCTTGGACTAGGTGCCGGATGGCATGGCCGCGGTGGTCCCGGATGGCAGGGCCGCGGTGATTCCTGTATGTTTTTTTAGACTTCTCAAAAAACAAGGGCCGCAGTGGTGCCTGTGAACACCACTCCACGGAACCCCGTTTAAGGGGAGCGGGAGGGGGAACAAGGGATGGGGTGTGGGAGGAGATGGGAGGGGGAGTGCGGCGAGGACGTGAGGGGATCAAGAGGGGGTGGATGGGTGCGAGCACGCAGGCATGGGGGCACGGTGCATGCAGCACGGTGAGTTGTGGTGATGCTTACCTCTCTTGTGGCGCTCCGTGCTGTCAATGGGCGGCGGTGTGGCTGGAAGGGGTCACAGCGCGGGGAGGGCAGGTGGAAGAGGGGAGAGAAGCACAGAGGGAAACAAGCAGGTTAGGTGATTGCAAAGGCTACTATGAGAGCAAGTGGGAGTGCCGCAATGGAGAGGGATGGCATGTGGCAGAGGCTGAGATGGAAAGGCCATGTGGACAGCGGGAAAGATGCAAAGCGAGAGAAAGAGGAATTGGGGAAGGGGAGGCAGGCGGGAGGCAGGCAAGGGTGAATGCAGGCTGTAGGCAGGGCAAGGCAGGGCGGGGCGGGGCGGGGCGGGGCTGGGCTGGGCAAATCAAGGCAGGGCGGAGCAGGGCAGGGCAAACCAAGGCAGGGCGGGGCAGTGGATGCTTACGAGGAGGGGGCGTGCCGGGGTTGGGCGAGCAGGAGGGGTAGGTGACAGTGGAAGAGCCAACGGTAACAGAGAGAATGACGTTGTACATGCCATTGTTGCACACACACGCCGGCACATACGAGTCACCATCCAGCACGCACATCCCCAGCCCCCCGCACGGCCCCGCTGCCAGAGCAGCACCACAGAACGACACACACTCCACCGGCCGCTTCTGATCCTCCGTCTCGCATCCCCCACTGCTGCTACCACCGCTGCCGCTGTCGCCGTTGCTGCCCCCGCGGCCCCAGCCCTTGCCGCGGTGGACGTAGCTTTGGGAGTAGTTCCAGTCGCCGGCCAGGAAGCAGTTATCCCGCAGGCTGCTGGTGGCTGTAGCGCCGAAGGGCAGGAGATTGGCGGAAGAGAAGCCGCCAGAGAGGTCGGAGGGGCAGAAGGGGGAGGACATGGCGGAGAAGGAGGAGGGGAGGGTTGTGAAGTAGTTGGAGCTTATGTCGTAGACGGCTTGCGAGGAGGATGCGAGGGACTGGGAGGAGAAGGAGCTTAGCGGCGTTCCTGTGAAGGCGTTGCGGCTTAGGTCGCTGGGTGGGGAGGGGGGACGGGTGAGGAGGTGGGGATCAAGGAAGCGGGGAATAAAGGGGGGAGAATGAGGGAGAGAGAGTGAGCGAGGAGAGCAGTGGGGGTTCCGTGGAAGGCACACAGAGGGTGAGAGCGGCGAGCTGAGAAGGAAGAGGAGAAAAGGGAAGGGAGAGAAGGGAGGGGAGAGGGGAGGCAACGAGCAGAGAACGGAGGGCGGAGATTGGAGGGCGGAGAGCAGAGAGCGGAGAGCAGAGAGCAGCGAGCAGACAGCAGAGAGCGGAGAGCAGAGAGCGGGCCGTACAGGTGAACGAGGTTGGAGAGAGTGGCGAGTGCTGCAGGCATGGCACCGTAGAAACGGTTGTTGCTCAGGTCCCTGTGACCGGCGCACATGCACATGCACAACACAACACGCACGCACAACACGCACACACACGCGCGCGCAAACACACACACACACACACACACACACACACACACACACACACACACGCGGGCAGGGGGAAGGTACGGTGTGAGTTGCGACAGAGAGAAAGGGGTGGAGAAGGAGAGAGGAAGGGATGGATCGAGACAGGAGAAAGATGCACGGAGGACAACGGGAAGGTTGGACGAAGTAGTGACATTCCATCATCCATCCAGCCGACCCGCCTGCATGCCCCATGGCCCACTCCCATGCCCCATGCACCCACCCACCCAAAAGCCACACCCCACACCCCACACCCCGTGACCAGCACTCCACACCCCATGCGCCCCAGGCGAGAGTCTAGAGGCGAGAGGCGAGAAGAGAGAGGCGAGAAGAGAGAGGCGAGAGGCGAGAGGCGAGAGGCGAGAGGCGAGAGGCGAGAAGAGAGAGGCGAGAAGAGAGAGGCGAGAAGAGAGAGGCGAGAAGAGAGAGGCGAGAAGAGAGAGGCGAGAAGAGAGAGGCGAGAAGAGAGAGGCGAGAAGAGAGAGGCGAGAAGAGAGAGGCGAGAAGAGAGAGGCGAGAAGAGAGAGGCGAGAAGAGAGAGGCGAGAAGAGAGAGGCGAGAAGAGAGAGGCGAGAAGAGAGAGGCGAGAAGAGAGAGGCGAGAAGAGAGAGGCGAGAAGAGAGAGGCGAGAAGAGAGAGGCGAGAAGAGAGAGGCGAGAAGAGAGAGGCGAGAAGAGAGAGGCGAGAAGAGAGAGGCGAGAAGAGAGAGGCGAGAAGAGAGAGGCGAGAAGAGAGAGGCGAGAAGAGAGAGGCGAGAAGAGAGAGGCGAGAAGAGAGAGGCGAGAAGAGAGAGGCGAGAAGAGAGAGGCGAGAAGAGAGAGGCGAGAAGAGAGAGGCGAGAAGAGAGAGGCGAGAAGAGAGAGGCGAGAAGAGAGAGGCGAGAAGAGAGAGGCGAGAAGAGAGAGGCGAGAAGAGAGAGGCGAGAAGAGAGAGGCGAGAAGAGAGAGGCGAGAAGAGAGAGGCGAGAAGAGAGAGGCAAGAAGAGAGAGGCAAGAAGAGAGAGGGCGCAGGGCGGAGCGGAACGCACAGTGCTTTGAGCGCCTTGAGCCCGCTCATAGTCGCCGGCAGCACGCCTGTCAGCTGGTTGCGGCCCAGCATGCTGGCACACCACAAGGGCACACACACGCAAGGCACACACGGCACACCCGGCACACACGGCACACACGGCGGTGACGGGCAGAAACAAGGGGCAAAAGAGGGGTTTGAGTGTCGAGGAAGAGAGAGGAGAGGGTGAGGAGACGTTAATGGTGACATTGGAGGAGCAAACGAGGTGGCAGCAGGTGGGATGGGAGGAGAGAGGTGGCATGGCGGGGAGGGAGGCAGTGATGCAAGGCAGACGCGCGCGCAGTGGAGAGTGGAGGAGGGCGGTAGCGGAAATCAGGCGCAGGGACAAGTGGGAGAGAAAAGGCGGAAAGAAGCAGAGCCGAGCGCGGGGAGAGCATGAGGGAAAGAGCGCGCGGAGAGCGCGGGGAGAGCATGAGGGAAAGAGCGCGCGGAGAGCGCGGGGAGAGAGCGGGGAGAGCGCGGGGAGAGAGCGGCTCACAGGAGCTGCAGGTTGGAGAGCGAGAAGAGGGAGTTGGGCAGCGAGCCATTGAGTGAGTTGAGTGCCACCGCTCTGGTGGGGGGACGGGGTGGGGGAGGGGTGGAGAGGAGAATGGGAAAAGAAAGGGAGAGGTTGAGAGAAGGGAGGAGAGAGCGCAAGGCGCAAGGGGGGGGAGGGGGGGGAGCGATAAGCAGAGGGCACTGGAGTCAGGCAGGAGAGCTGGCAGTGGAGCGGATGCTTCTGCGTGGCGTGGCGTGGCGTGGCGTGGTGTGGTGTGGTGTGGTGACCTGCGTGTGGGTGCATGCATGCGGTGGCATTAAGGGGTTGAGCAGGCAGCTGCGAGTGACAGCAGCAAGGGTAGGTTGCTCGCGTTGAACCAAGAGAGGGGGGAGGCGCGGGGGAGGGGAAGGCTTTCGAGAATCCAATCCACTAAGGCGCGGAGGAAGGGAAGGCGCGGAGGAAGGGAAGGCGAGGGCGAGCGCGTACAAGGTTGCGAGGCTGGGCATGGCAGTGAAGGCGTCTGGCACTGAACCCGTGAGCGCATTGGCCGTGAGATCCCTGTGATGACGCACACACACGCACACACGCACACACACACACACACACACACACGCACACACACACACACACGCACACACACACACACACACGCACACACACACACACACACACACACACACACACACACGCACACTTGAGCGCACACACATGCAAACATGCACATACACACGCACACATACACACACACACGCGCACATGCGCGCACACACGCACAACCATACACGCATGAGAGCGAGCGCAGACACGCGGAGCCACAGAGGCCCGGAGGAGAGGAATTGGTCTGGGGCCGCATAGCAGGGAGGCACGAGCAAAGCAAGCACGCATGCGAGCATGGAGACAAGCGAAGGGGGGCGGGGTGGGGATGTGGAGGCGCGGATGTGGGGGAAGAGACGTGGGGAATGGGGACGGGCGGAGAAAAGGGCTGGGCGTGTAGGGGGAACGGAGGGGCAAGCGAGAGAGAGGGTAAAGGCGAAGGTTGACGGGCAAGGGCCGAGGGGCGAGGGGCGAGGGGCGGGGAAGGGCGAGGAAGGGCGAGGAAGGGCGAGGAAGGGCGAGGAAGGGCGAGGAAGGGCGAGGCGAGGCGTACAGGAATCGGAGGTTGACGAGGCGACTGATGCCCATGGGGATGGAGCCGTTGTGCTGATTGCCGCTCAGCGACCTGCGCGCGGAGGGCGGAGGACATGCGCGACCAGGAGAGGGGGAACGCAGGGGAGTGGCGCAGTAGGCAGGAGAGACAGTGAGGGGGAGCGGGGTGGAAGGGGAGAGGCGAGGCGGACTTGCATGAGCCAGTGGGGCACAAGGAGGCGAGGCGAGGCGAGGGGAGGGGCGAGGCGAGGCGAGGGTCGGCGAGGGTCGATGAGGAAAGATAGACGAGATGCAGGTCGGAGGAAGTGAGGTGAGCGAGGTGCCACGAGGGCATGTGTGTGCTGTGCTGTGTGGCATGAGCGCGAGGGACGGCGAGGTGACTGCCGTGAGCATGGAATGCGCTCAGAGCGCCGTCACACGTGACTGCGCGCCGACCCAGCAGCGCACCAGTTGGACAGCAATGCAGCAAGACACGGCGGCACGGCTGCACGGCGGCACGGCGGCATGGCGGCACGGCGGCATGGCGGCACGGCGGCATGGCGGCACGGCGGCATGGCGGCACGGCTGCATGGCGACACGGCGGCATGGCGGCACGATGGCATGCAGCAGCAGCGTACACGTTGGTGAGGGCGGTGAGGAAGGAGATGTCGTCGGGGATGGGCCCCGTGAGAAGATTGTGATCCAACGCGCTGTAGCACATGGAAGCACCGGGGGAGCGGGGGGGAGAGAGCCAGGGATGTGGGATGGGCGCAGGGGAAGGGTGTGAGGGCCATGGCATGTCGTGGCGCACAAGTTAAGCCGTGCAAACGGACACGCGACGCGGCAAGCGTGAAGGAAGAGCGCGCGTCGTTCGAGAGGCGCACGAGACGCCGCGGAGCACGGAACGGGGGAGGGGGAAGGGGAAGGGGAAGGAAGGAAGCGAGCATAGCAGCGAGAGACGATGGCGTGGGGAGGTTGAAGGCGAGAGGTGAAGGGAGAGAGAGAGAGGAGGGGAGAGGACTGACAGTGTCTGCAGCGCCTGCAGCTGGGTGACGGCCGCGGGGATGGATTGCCCACCCAGACTGCGCTGCCCCGTGATCACCCTGCCGTGCGCGCGCGCACACACACGCAAACAACCGGACACGCACACAGGTCGCACAGAGTGGGACGGGGAGCAAACGAGGAGAGGAGGTGAGGTCGTTGGGACGACAGCAGCGACGACATGCTTTCGTCGCATGGCTCATGCGACGGGAAGCGACGATGCGGAGAACGACGAGTCGAGGCAAGCGAAGCACCACGCGGTAACAATATAAGACCGCGGCACGGCACGCAGCGCCAAAGCGGGGCGGGGCGGGGCGGGACGGTGAGAGGCGCGGCGGAGAGGCGTGGAACCAAGGGGAGCGGGATAGTGGCGCTCACAAGCTGGTGACCTGGCCCATGGCGTTGCACGAGAGGCCGAACCACGTGCTGCACTCCTTCCCCGCCACCCACGTCTGGTTCAGCGCCGTCAGGTTGCGCCCCCACGCCGCCGCTATCGCGGTGAGCGCGGTCACTGCGGGGAAGGGGAGCGGGGGAGGGGGTGGGAGAGGAGGACGGGGAGGAGGGGAGGAATAGGGGAAGAAAGGGGAGTGAGAAGGGCAGAGAGCGGACCGGGGGGTTGAGAGAAGCAAGAGCGGAGAGGGGAGAGGAGAGTGCGACGCACGGAGAGATGGTGATGTTCTTACAAGTCGGCAAACGAACTACTTCGACAGATGTGATGGCATGGCGCTCGCGCAGGGCGAGCGGGACCGCAAGAGCGAGTGTGCGGCAGTGCGGCGGTACCGCAGCGGGGAAGTGGAACGACGAGAAAGACGAGCGATGGGAGGGAGGAGACGCGCGAGGTGAGGCGACGCGCGAGGTGGAGCGAGCGGGAGAGAGGTGCGGGTAGCGTGAGCGGGCGACGGGAGGCGCAGCGCCGCGGGTGACGGACTCACGCTGAGAGCTGGCGACGGGCTGCGCGGAGGCGCACTGGAGGGTGCAGGCGAGGACGAGGAAGAGCGCGAGGGGGAGGACGGCAAGGGGGTGAGAAGACGAGCGCGCAGAAGAGTGGGGCGCCATGATGAGCAGAAACGTCGTTGGCAGCGGAGCGGCGAGACGGGGAGTGTTGGCGGCGGAATCTAATCGGCGGCGAGCAGTGTTGCCAGATCCGACGGCGGAAATCAAGCGGAAGAACAAAAGATCTACTAAACCTGGTGGATTGAGTGAGTGACGCGGGAATGGGAGGAAAGAAAGGAAAAAAGGCACGAATTTGCAGGGTTTCGGTCGCAGGCGTGAGAGAGCACCATCGGGTCGCGGCGGATCTCGGTCAGACGTGGCAGCGCGATACTGTGCCGTGTCACGCGGTGAGTTCTTAATGACGCGGCGCGATTAGGCTGGATCCTATTATGGAGTGGACGGTGGGACGTGAGCGGGACGGGCGCGACCCATGATGTGCCGGCCGGGACTGACGGCGGAATAAGAAATCTAGAGGGATCGGGACGGCAACGAGTTTTCAAATCGTTGCGCTTTCGCTGTCTCTGCCCAGCCCACCCCACCCTGCAGCCGCTACCATTGGTACAGACCCATTCTTTTCCGCCATAGCACCAGTCACTGGTACTAAGGTCGCGAGAGCAAGCGGTTCCGTGTCGTGCACTGTACCAGCACTGTTCACCGACGGAGAAGGGCGATGCGAGTGCGACTGCTACTACGGCTTCTGGCAGGGCCTCGCGACTACTGCGCGGTCCCAATGCCATCCCGTTGCCGTCTCATTGCCGTCCCACTGTTGTCCATTTGCCGTCCCATTGCCGTCCCGTGCGGGCGTCGCCCGAAACGCACAAAAGTTACTGTTTTGAGGCACCTCAAAACTACACCCGAGTCTCTGTCCCCCTACCTTGCCTTCCGTTCTTTTCCTCGTAGCCACGGGCGGTTGAAGCATGTCGCGACGCTAAGCGACTATCTAGTACGCGCCTGCACGGCATCCTAAGAACGAACCCCCCCGTGCGCCGACGCGCCTACTACTGCGCAGCAACGAAGGGCGCGAGAGACGCACCTGAGGCGGAGAGACCTATTAGGGCTAGGAGCACTGAGAGAGCCACGTGTCACTCTTGATAGACGGCCGGCGCCGCGATGGGTTTGGGGCACAGGGAGGGGTAAAGTATAGGCACGTGCATGGCGGCCAGGTGGAATACTACTAGCGGCGGGAACGGGTGTGTAGAGAGGTAGGGTTGCGTGGGCGTTGACGGACGAGGGTTGTTCGGCTGCTTGCAAGGTAAGATTGGTTAGGAGAGATGCTGACAGAGTCTACAGATTGCGACGAGGGAACGAGGAAGGGTTGCATTGCAGGTTGCCGGGATTCCAATGCCATGTCAGAGGAGCAGAGGAGCAGCAAAGCAGCAAGCACAGGACAGAAGGGAATGCAACGCAATCCGAAGTTGGTGGTGAGGGAAGGGGCAGGGGGGAAGGGAAACAGTGGCACGCAGGGTTGGTTGGGGAAGGGGAAGGCTTCACTGCGAAAGAGCAAGAACTGGGAAATCCGAGGCGAGGGGCAGCGAGTTCATGGATTCGTGGTGCTTGGTGGGGGTTATTGTTGGGGCAGGACGCGGTCTTTGACCAGGCAAGGAGGAGTTTTGTTGCAGGAAGTCGTTTTGCGCTTTTGCAGTTTTTCCGCGTTTTGCGTTTTGCGTTTCTGTTCAACGTTTGTGTTAACCCTAGCAACTGACGATCGGACTTTCGTGGCACGTCTGCAAGCACCCCTTCCGTTCCGTTCACTGCTGCCACTTTGTTCGTACACTAATTTCAAGGCCCGAAATTGGGCGCTCGCGGGTAGCTACCCTTATTATGTCTGGGACCAAGGGTTGTACAGAGTGAAACATTTTTTGAAGTAGGTAGGTTTCGGACTCCTTGTGAGTGCGATGACGCAACGAAGGTCGCAACTAGAAAAGTTTCCGGTCAGAGTGGGTGGTAAGCCTGATCCACTGAGGGATTTATTGTTTTAAACAACCGTTGCGGAGAGCGTCCTCTATGTCGTTTTGATTCTGGGTGTCTGAAAGATACGACCGAATCTGGTCTAGGGTGTCTCTGAAAACATTTTCCAGGCCTTGAAATTAGTGGAGCCCAGGTGTACATCTGCTTCCACAACTTCCATGTAGCTGTTGTCCTTTGAACAAACCAGCCACCAGCCTTGCCTGAAACAACTCCCTCGGGCAAACAAATCATCAGCACGCTGCTTGTGTACAGTTGGGCAGCAGAAAAACAAGGCATGCCGCACAAGGTTTCCCAGAAATGTACAGTGTTTTGGGGTGACAAAAGTAGTTGGTGTCGGCGGTCACCAACCAACCAACGTCAGTGACGAGGTGTGTGCAGTGCTCTAGTTTTCAGGGTATTTTACCTTGTTTGCCTTGCCAATCAGGGTGCGTTTTGAGCGCTACTCTGCCAAAACAGGGTCCCCCCATTAAGTCACCCGGCCAGAATCCGGCTTCCTTATATTTTAACACGGCTAAGCCGGCTTGCCATAGTTTTCACCCGGCCAGTTTGCTAAAGTGTTTCTGACAGTATCAGCCGAAGAAAATTTCCCTTTACAAGAAAAAACAAGTTCCGTGATTGTGCTGGTGTGTTTTGCCGAGCACCTTCTGTGTGTGAAAAGAGACGAAGTACAGAGACTCACAGATACAGCTGTAGAGCGAGCAACAACACCAACTCAGCTGTACAGCTGTTCTCGAATTGTGACAAGCCCACCAACTCTCTCAAGCAGAGTAGCGCCGAAAGTAACACTGCAAATCAGGGTCCCCGAACAAATTACCCTGCCTCTACCCTGATTTTTCCACGCGCCACCCGGCCTTGGCCGGGTGGCAGGCGGCGGGAACCCTGATTTGGAAGAGCGCCCCAAAACGAAAAGAGAGCCCTGGGTGTGTGCATACGTCGGGACTCGGGGGGAGCCACCACTGGCAAGAGCCTCTTCCCCGAGAAACACCTCCCTGGTGGGTTGGCTTGTCTCGACGTGGAGCGAAGAAACGGCACTGCTGGGGAACAGCAAAACCGCCTGGGGAAAACTGAATGGAGCCCAAGCGAGGAGAAGTTGCACCCGATACTCTTTACACGTCACAAAACTGTTTGTCTCCATGTGAGGAACATCCCCACGTAAGGTTTTTTTCTTAGGTTGTATTCTATATACAATTATACATAGAGCAAGCAGGTAGCAGGTTATATGGCCTACAGGCCAACTTCCTTTCACGAGTATGTGCTGGTTTTACCGAAGGATCAAAGCGGATAGGATAAGGTTGCTAAGTTAAAAGAAGGCAATGAAGTCTTGTAGTAACCTTGTTAGTAATGATTGAAAGAGAACAAGATGACTACAAGATAAAAGTACAAGGGTATAATTAACAAACGAACTAGCCATTTACTCTGAGGGGTACATTCCCTTATTAAGGGTACATTCGTGTGTCGACATTTGTATCTTGTTACAATCCCAAGTGGGACTTAACAAAGGATCGCTCAGGGTTGATCGCAGAGTAGTGTTGCAGCGGAAGTTTGAATCTCAAGTCAGAGTGAATGTAAATGACTGAGTTAATGAGAGCATGCATACATCGGGTTTATATAAGAGTACAAGGGAATACGAAAGGATCTAGACTAGCCATGTACTCTAAGGGGTACATTCCCTTATTGTAACTGAATTCAAAACCGTGCGGCGCGGGAACCCGTTCAAAACATGTTCCCGCCCTTTTCACTTTAAATGTTTCTGTGAAGTAAAGAAAACAGGAATGAAATGACTAAGGAAAGATTGGGTACAAATACAACCCTAGAAAACCTGTACCCCATATGTGCTACCCCACTATAGCCTACAGCAACTATGTCATATAAATCTGACACACCCCCATAGGCAAAGTGGGGGAGAACAAGGGGTCACAAGACCAGTCAAGCAAAGCAAAGCAAGCTCAGGGTGGATCACAAAGTCACCACACAGTCCGAGCACAAGAGTAGGGCCAGAGGCCAGTTCACATGCAGGAGTACAGACATATATATAAAACTAGACAAACAAGAGCAGGCATATATATATGTCACAGTACAAGTGAAGTCAAGAGGAGAGCAAGTGAGGCAAGACAGGCACAAGACCCAGCTGGGTGCAAAAGCGCTGATGGTCACAAGGCGCGAGTGCCTTGGTGAACACATCAGCAGTGTTGGCCTCAGAGGCCACGTACGCAAGTCGCAACTGACCACGCTGCTGCAGCTCACGAGCAAGGAAGTAGCGGAGAGCAATGTGCTTCGTTCTGTGCTCCAAGCGCTGCTCTCGACACAAGGCCAGCATGGCCTTGTTGTCTACGTACAGCACTGGAGGAGAACGAGGCGGCTCTCCAAGGTCAGTCAGCAGGTAGGTGAGCCAGCGAAGCTCCTGTGTAGCCATGGCCCCGGCGTAGATCTCAGCCTCACAACTGGAGCCGAGAACCGAAGACGAGCGAGTAGACCGCCACGAGACAGAGCCGGAACCAAGACTGAAGGTGTAACCCTGTGACGACCGCTGCGTAGCCTGGTCGTCAGCCCAAGAAGCGTCCGCGTGGCCGGTAAGGACCACTGGACTCCGCCCTCCAAGCACTAGCCCCATGCCCGACGTACTGCACAGGTAGCGCAATACCCTCTTCGTTGCAGCCATGTGCTCCGGTCTGTGTCTCCCAGGAGCAACATAGCGTGCAAGAATGCTCAGAGGGTATGCAAGGTCAGGTCGTGTGCAGGTCATCATGTACATGAGGCAGCCAACAAGCTCTGCATACGGACCACTCGACTCTACGGACTCATCCGAAGGCAGAGCTGAGAGTGAGTGGCGAGTAGGCAGAGGAGTGGCCTGAGGCGAGGAGTACGTGAAGCCGAAGCGCTGAAGGACCTGCTGCACCATGTGTGACTGAGTCAAGGTAATGGTGCGGCGTGCTCTGTCCCGAGTGATTTGCAAGCCAAGGTAGCTGCGCAGTTCACCCAGGTCTGTGCACGTGTGTCTCTTCAGCAGCTCGGACTTCACGTAGGCGAGTCCAGCAGTGTCCGCTGTGGCAAAGACCAAGTCGTCGACGTACACGAGGATGTAGAACGGCGGCAGGGAAGTGTCGGTGCGAAGAAACAGCGACGGGTCAGCAGTAGAAGGAGCAAACCCAAGAGCCGCAAGCGTAGTCCTCAGTGTGTCGTGCCACTCACGCGGTGCCTGGCGGAGACCGTAGACTGGCCGTCGGAGGCTCCACTGGGTGCCAGGAGGGAAAGTCCCAGTGAAGCCAGGTGGACGGCGAAGCCAGATCTCCTCGTGCAGGCTACCCTGCAAGAACGCAGTGCTGAAGTCGAGAGAGTGAAGCTCGTAGTCGCGCTGAGCGGCTATGTGCAGCAGCACCCGAAGAGTAGTCATCTTCGGGGTGGGAGAGAAGGTCTGAAAGTAGTCAACTCCCTGCCGCTGACTGAAGCCACGAGCAACGTACCGTGCCTTGAAGACAGGTGGAGAGCCCGGCGGCCGCTTCACCCTGAAGATCCACATGCCACTGACGATGTTCGCCCCAGGAGGGGGAACCGCGTCAACGTAGGTGCCTGTGGACTTCCAGGAAGCCATCTCTGCATCCATAGCTGCCTGCCACTGAGAGGAGTAGGGACCCTCTACGGCCTCCGCGTAAGAACGCGGAGTCGGGATGTCTAGTGCATCCGGGTCTCCCTCAGGGGCAAGCAGTACAGACGCGAGATGAGGTGAAGCAGCCGCTAGACACTGTAACTCCTCCTGCCTGTCCTCTAGGACGTCCGTGCCAAGAGCACACTCACCCCCGACGGACGGAGGACAGACAGACGCAGACTCAGAAACAAGACTAGCAGCGTAGTCGAGACGACAGCGAGCAGCAAAGTCGACGAGCTCTGCGACTAGAGCAGACGCAGCAGTGGACTCAAAAGAGGGGTCAGTGACGACAGTAGCAAGCAGACGCGTGACAATAGGACTGGCAGCACGAAGAGAGTCCGACTCAGGGTCGGCAAGCGCACGAAGAGAGGACTCAGGAGGAGAAGGCAAAGGGGCACGCAGAGGAGCAGTGGACGGATGTAAAGACATCCGGTGCGTGCCAGGGACACGAGGAGGACGCTGACGGGAACTGCGACCACTAGCGCGAGCAGCACGAACAGGCGACGCGGGACGAGACGCAGGCTCACGACGCTCAGCAAGACCTCCAGTAGGACCAGTGTAAGGAGAGGGAGCAGGCAGTGGAGAGGAAGGCTCCAGCAGGGACTGCGACTGGACAGGCGGTGGACCCTCTACTAGAGAAGAAAGACCAAGAACCTGCTGCAGGAGCGGAACGAAGTACGGCCGAGGCCGCGCGGCAGCTCCAGACTCAGCAGGGACAGCACCAGCACCCTCAGCGACAGCACCAGCGCCACCCACATCTCTAGCGGCAGGACCAACAGCAGTAGGCTCAGCACCAACGCCCTCAGCAGCTCCAGCTCCAGGAGGACCCGCAGGTCCAGCAGCTTCGGGACCGGCAGCACCCGCACCCTCGACGGTCGAAGAAGCTCCAGCCCCAGCTCCAGCAGCACCTCCAGACTCAGCAGCACGCCTCTAGCGGCGAGCGAACCACTCGCGCAGCTCCTGTGGAGAGAGGGGCTCCCGGCGAGACGCAGCAGCAGGAGAAACCTCAGGCTCAGCAGCTCCAGACGCAGCACCCCCAGGCGCAGCAGCTCCCAGCTCAGCACCCCCAGGCTCAGCAGCTCCCGACCCAGCACCCCCAGACCCAGCACCTCCAGGCACAGCACCCCCCGGCTCAGCACCCCCAGGCTCCGCACCCTCCGCAGTAGCACCCTCAGGCCCAGCACCCCCAGCAGTAGCACCCCCAGGCTCAGCACCCCCGCGCACAGCACCCCCAGAGTCAGCACCCCCAGGCTCAGCACCCGCAGCAGCACCAGAGTCACCAGTAACCTCGACCGGGTCAACGGCGTCTACCTGGGACACACCTGAGGGGGCAGGAACCTGAGGGGGGAGGGGGTCTACCGGGGGGGGAACCGGCACAAGGAAGTCCGGGGGAGGGGGGAGGGAAGGAGTGCGGTAGGGGAAGAGACGGTAGAAGGGGACTGACTCGTCGAACGTGACGTCCTGGGAGGACAGAACACGACGAGAGGAGGGGTGGTAAAACTGCCACCCTGGGGCGTCAGTGGGGAAGCCAAGGAAGACACAGGGAGAAGCGCGAGGGGACAGCTTGTCCGCAGACAAGTCGCGGACAAACGCCCGAGATCCCCAGACACGGAACACAGACGCATCGCCAACCTTCCCCGTCCACAGCAAGGCTGGGGACATCGCAGGTCGAGAGACCCGGGGGTGAAGGTTGAGCTGATGCGCCGCGTACCTCACCGCAAACGGCCACAGAAAATGGGGGGCAGCCGCATGCATCATGGACGTACGAGCGACATCCATGACCATGCCAATGCGGCGCTCAGCAATCCCATTTTGCTGTGGTGA